CGTTTTTTTTTATTTATTTTTGGGACAGAGAGAAACAGAGCATGAACGGGGGAGGGGCAGAGAGAGAGGGAGACACAGCATCGGAAACAGGCTCCAGGCTCCGAGCCATCAGCCCAGAGCCTGACGCGGGGCTCGAACTCACAGACCGCGAGATCGTGACCTGGCTGAAGTCGGAGGCTTAACCGACTGCGCCACCCAGGCGCCCCGAGATACAACTTTTAAAAATAAAATTAAGGACTAATTTACTCATATGTAGAAGATACTCCCACTGACATGTAATACACGGGCAAGGTAATTTATAGCTGATTTTCTAAGTTCTGTGTATACGTGTTTGCAAGCTTTAATGACTTTTCTATCGAGGCAGAGATGTAACAAAAGAAGCTTTTAACTCTCCTTCTGAAACTTAAAATATGAATGTCCCTCAAGATATTCAGAAAGTAAGCCTTGAACACAGTGTTCCTTATTATTTGGAGAATGGTTATTTTGCTTTATGATTGAATTTCGTCGAACCTCCAATTACTTGACTTTAGTCATGTCTCATGATGGCTCTTTTTTTGTCTTTGCTTTCTCTGCCATCTGTAGGAAGCAATGCTATCATTGAAAGAATATGAAAATTCTCAGGGCGCCTGGATGGCTCAGTCGGTTAAGTGTCTCACTTCAACTCAGGCCATGATCTCGTGGTTCATGAGTTCAAGCCCCGCATCAGGCTCTGTGCTGACAGCTTGGAGCCTGGAGCCTGCTTCAAATTCTGTGTCTTCCCCTCTCTCTGCCCCTACCCCACTCACGCTCTCTCTCTCTCTTTCTCAAAAATAAATAAACATTAAAGAAAAAAGGAAAGAATATGAAAATTCTCATATTCCTTTAAGAAGATTTCTTTAGGAGAATTGGTTTTTGTTTTTTTTTGTTTTTGTTTTTGTTTTTGTTTTTTTTTTCCATTTATAGGAATGATCTCTGTGGGATAAGAATACTGGTACTAATCTTAAAATTTGACTGTCCTACTTTTGTGCACTACAACTGCAGTAGGTGACTGACATTAGCCTCCTGGAACTGTCTCAAGTGACCTCAAGGAGAAATCAAAACCAGCAAGAACTGGAGAACCGGTTAAACAGAGACATGGAAGCAATATTTTTAAACAATCAGATATATAGAAACCTGATATATTTTTTTTTAAGTTTATTTACTTATTTTGAGAGAGGGACAGAGCGAGCAGGGGAGGGCCAGAGAGAGGGGGAGACAAAGCGGGCTCCACACCCAGCAGGGCTCGAACTCAAAAACTGCAAGATCATGACCTGAGCCGAAATCAGGAGTCGGTCACTTAATTGATTGAGCCACCCAGGCGCCCTGAAACCTAATGTATTAAGATGACCTAAGGGTCTTTCTTGTGTCTCTGTGGAAATCAGAAAACCTTAGTTTTGACATTCATAGCACATATATACCTTGGGATGCGCAAGCATTTGGAGAACTGCTTGCAAGCACACCTTCCCCCTTCCCCTGTGGCTGATGCGCTGCAGAGCAGAGCAGTTCTTCTGGGCAAATGGAAAGACTTTCCCAGGCTGGCATCCTCAGTAAGGCAATGAATAAAGCGTTTATTTACCTACCTACTTTGAGGTCGGCTTTCTTTCCGTTGACATACTGTTGCTAATACCTTTTAAAATAATAACAATAGCTCACATTTATTGAGGTATTAATATTTATCATGGGTTATGCTTTCTGAAAGGTTTATCAGGTGAGCAGATTGAAGCTCGGGGTGATAAAGGAAACTCGGCCATTAAAGGCAGAGCTGGTATCAAAGCCCATGGTCTATCATGTGTTGGACAGTTTGCCTTTCAGACTCTGAAATGTATCTTTGTTTTCATTTGTATGCAACATAGTGATGTATATTTGCCTAGGATTTTCATTGTTTGTAAAGAGCTTTTCAAATATTGTCATTTAATCCTCCAACATATTATGTGGAATCTTGTAAGTCACCGCTGTAAGATAATTGTTGATCTGATTTAGTTATTCTTAGAAGGTAGTAGAAAGGGAATAATATTCGGCAATTGAGAAAATGAATAATTGATACAACTATTATATGGGGTGATGGAGAAGAGAAAGAGCTTATTAAAATTGTACAAAGCATATTAAAAAAGAAATGACATTTTCCTATGCATTATAGAAAATGTTGTTTTCTATTAATAAAATCTATTTAAAAAGAATAATCAATAATTAAAAAACCCAGTAATTAAGAAAGTCAGATATGCTGAAATGATTAGTCTTTTTTTTTTTAATTTTAAAAAAAATTTTATTTATTTTTGAGAGAGAGAGATACAGAGTGTGAGCAGGGGAGGGGCAGAGAGAGAGGGAGACACAGAATCCTAAGCGGGCTCCAGGCTCTGAGCTGTCAGCACAGAGCCTGACTTGGGGCTCAAACTCCCAAGCCATGAGATCATGACCTGAGCTGAAGTCAGCCGCCCAACCCACTGAGCCACCCAGGTGCCCCTGACATGATTAGTCTTTATGCAACATTTAGGTAGTCTTGGAAAGTCTAACATTGCAATCTATGAGAACAGGGAGAAGTATTGAGGCAGTACAAGAGGATCAAAATTAAATACAGATATATTAAATGCCTACTGTCTGCTATTTTGTGAATCTCTCCCCTTCTGAAAAGTACTTTCTAGTTTGAACAGTAAACAAGTTAAATGCTGGGAGCTCTGGTAACTTTTTTTCTATTGTTATCTGTATCTTTCTGCTCATCCTGCCTCATCTAAGTGAAGAAGTGATATGAAGGTCTGGGCCAAGCAGAAATTTAATCTTCATGGCAACCTGTCAGTCTATTTTGTTGCAGGAGAGCTAGTGCTCAGGACTTAGGGTACCAGGAGGATGGAAGTTTGTGGTAGTCTACAGGCTTCAACTGAAAGCACCCCATTAACTGGCCTAAATTATGCTTGGTTAGCAGAGGCTGTAAACATCTACCTTATCTTCACTGTGTGTATGTGTGTGTGTTTTTTTTAATGTTTATTTATATTTGAGACAGAGTGCGAGCAGGGGAGAGGCAGAGAGAGGGAGACACAATCTGAAATGGGCTCCAGGCTCCAAGCTGTCAGCACAGAGCCTGATGCGGGGTGTGAACTTGTGAACCATCACATCATGACCTGAGCCAAAGTCGGACACTTAACTGACTGAGCCACCCAGGCGCCCACCCTTTCATTGTGTTGTAATGAGAGTAGATTGATGGATTCCTTTCTGTGACTTGCTCCTCAGGCAGAGTTAACCATGGTTTTACCCAGGTGTAGTTCTTGGCCCCTTCCCATTACCCGACAGGTCCCCTCCTCCCCAGCTGATTCCAGTGGCAGGTGTTATAAAAAGCACTTGATTTACAGTTCATCTGTGTTAGAGATGGTTATTTTCTAAGTAGAGCTTCAATTGGGTATATTATATATTTCTTATACAAAAATTGAACATATTTCCTGTTTTTCTTTTAATGTATTTTCAGAAAGCACTGAGTGCTAGTTATTTTTATAATTCTTTCTCTGCAGGCTGCTTTGTACCGCCTCAGTGGCGACTGGAATCCCTTACACATTGATCCTAACTTCTCTAGTTTCGCTGGTGAGTTGCTCATAATGTGTACCAATGAAAACTAGTAGTTCCGTTATCTAAATAACACTTAGGGACATTGCTACTTAAGACAGGTAGTTTGAGTAGTATTTAAAAAAAATTTTTTTTAATGTTTATTTTTTAGGGAGGTGGGGGTGGGGCAAAGACAGAGGGAGACACAGAATCTGAAGCAGGCTCAAGACTCCGATCAGTCTGTTAGCACAGAGCCTGACGCAGAGCTCGAACTCACGAACCATGCCATCGTGACCTGAGCCGAAGTTGGACCCTTAACCAACTGAGCCACCCAGGCATCCCAGTTGTATTTAAAAAATAGCCTTCTCCTAATACATTTATGCTAAGGGTAGAGAAAGTAGGAAGTAGTGTTCAGGAGGTGGTGTGCTTGGAATTCATAATTCAGATTGTGGAGGAAGGCAGCTCCTAGTGCAGGGTTAGGATCTTATCATGTAGGTGGGTGTCGGAGTTATCCTGCTGGGCAAAGGACATTGGAGGAGAGAGGAAGAACTGAAAGGCTAGGAAAGGATCATCTGCATACCTGGATATTGAAATCAGCAGGGGTGATTTCATCGTCAGGACCACAGCCAAACAAAACAATTCTTTGTGTTCCCACATCTCTCACATTCCTTTCTTGATTCTTCTCTGTTTGTTTCATAGTTTTCTCCCTGGAAGTATTATTTATAAAATATTTTCCATGTTTCTTAAAATAGATGGTATTAATTCATCCTAGTGCTGTTTTTTTTTTGTTTTTTTGTTTTTTGAAGTTTTAATATTTATTTATTTTTGAGAGAGAAAGAGACAGAGCACAAGCAGGGGGAGAAGAGAGAGAGATTAGTTAGTTAGATATAGTATATTTCCTACTGGGTAAGCCAGGGCCCCCGTGTTCAGTGGAGTTGAGCACAAATCTGACGTTGTTTTAGCTCACATGATCTCTTCACCATTTCATGGGTTCTAAGCCCCACATCAGACACTGCACTAGTAGCTAGGTCTTGGGATTCTCTCTCTCCTCTCTCTCTGCTCCTTCCCCACTCACACTGCTCTCTCTCTCAAGACAATAAAAAAACCTTTAAAAAAAATCTATTCATATATGGTATGTGTATATATATACATCAAGGATAATTTATTCAGGATTTCAAAAACACATCTTCAAATGGCACTATGATGGGGGCATCTGCATGGCGTTGTTAGCCTGACTTGAGCTCAGCTCATGATCTGATGGTTGCGGAGTCCAGCCCCCGCGGCAGGCCTCCTTGTGTTGACAGATTGGAGCCTGGAGCTGCTTCAGGTTCTGTGTCTTTCGCTCGTTTCTGTCCGCCTTCCTGTCCTTGTGTGCTTGCTCTTTTCTCTTCAAAAATAAAATATTAAAACTTCAAAAACAAAAACAAAAAAAAACATAGGGATGAATTAAATACTATCTATTTTAAGAAAATGGAAAATATTTATAAATAATACTTCCAGGAGAAACTAAAACAAACAGAGAAGAATCAAGAAAGGAAGTGAGAGATGGAACACAGATAGCTAGTTTTGTTTAGTGGTGGTTCCTGAGGCGATGAAATCACCCAATGGATTTGCATATCAGGTATGCATGATCCTTTCTAGCCTTTTCAGTTCTTCCTTCCAATGTCCTTGCCCAGGCAGGAGCAACCTCTCTAATCACCTACATGATAAAGATCCAACCCTGCACTAGAGCTGCCTTCTCCACACCCTGAATTACAATTCCAAGCACACCACCTCCTGAACACTATCACTTTCTACCCCTTAGTATAAATGTATTAGAGAAGGCTATTTTTAACAACTGGGATGCCTGGGTGGCTCAGTTGGTTAAGGGCCTGGCCAACTGCTCAGGTCACATGGTACAATTGTGAGTTCTTCAAGTTTCCGCTGTGTGCTCTGTGCTAACAGACTGATCGAGTCTGGAGCCTGCTT